GCACGGGAAGCCGTCACACTGGGTCTCGTTACATCATCCATCCTTCGGGAGCGGCGACGGAAAGCGATCCTCCTGGGTCCGTCCTCAGTCCTCGCGCGGGAGCGGCGACGGAAGCGCACCCTCCTGGGTCCGTTCTCATCCTCCTCTGGGAACGGCGACGGAAGCGAACCTCCTGGTCTCCGTACCTTCGCTCCTCCCTCAGAAGGACCAAACCCCGGGAGACAGAGGCCGGACACTCAACTGCGTTCTCATGTTTCATCCTCCCTCGAGAACGAGCGGCAGACAGAGAAGCAGACCAATCTCCCTGGCATCATCGTCCTGTACACTCCGCCGGGAGCGCGCAGACGGACGCGACCATCCTGGGTCTCGTTCTCCATATGCTCCTACGGGAGAGGCGACGGAAGACGACCCTCCTGGGTCTCTCCTCGTCGTCCTCGGGGGCGGCGACGGAAGCGGCCTCCTGGGTCTCGTTCTCATCCTCCTCGGGAGCGGCGACGGAAGCGACCTCCTGGGTCTCGTCCTCGTCCTCCTCGGGAGCGGCGACGGAAGCGACCTCCTGGGTCTCGTTCTCATCCTCCTCGGGAGCGGCGACGGAAGCGACCTCGGAGAAGTCCTTCTCGTTCGGAGGGGCGGCGCGGAGATGACCTCCTGGGTCTCGTCCTCATCCTCTTCGGGAGCGGTCTCCTGGGTCTCGTCGTCCTCGGGGCGGCACGGGCTGCGACTTCCTGGGTCTCGTCCGTCGTCTCCTCGGGGCGGCGACGGGAGCGCCTCCCTGGGTCTCGTCTCGTCTCCTCGGGGGCGGCGACGGGAGCGGCCTCCTGGGTCTCGTCCTTCTCGGACGCGGCCGACGGAAGTGACCTCCTGGGTCTCGTCCTCATCCTCCTCGGAGCGGCGCGGAAAAGCGACCCTCCTGGGTCTCGTCTCGTCCTCCCTCGGGAGCGGCGACGGAAGTGACCTGGCTCTCGCCCTAGTCGTCCTTGGGGGCGGCGACGGAAGTGACCTCCTGGGTCTCGTCCTCGTCCTCCTCGGGGGCGGCAACGGAAGCGACCTCCTGGTTCTCCTCTCTCGTGCCGCCTCGGGGGCGGCGACGGATCCGACCTCCTGGGTCTCGTCCTCATCCTCCTCGGGGGCGGCGACGGAATCGACCTCCTGGGTCTCGTCCTCGTCCTCCTCGGGGGCGGCGACGGAAGTGACCTCCTGGGTCTCGTCCTCGTCCTCCTCGGGAGCGGCAACGGAAGTGACCTCCTGGTCTCCTCTTCGTCCGCCTCGGGGGCGGCGACGGAATCGACCTCCTGGGTCTCGTCCTCGTCCTCCTCAGGGGCGACGACGGAAGCGACCTCCTGGTCTCTTCGTCCGCCTCGGGGCGGCCGGTGCCTCCTCGTCCTCGGTAGAGAGAGAGAGAGAGAGAGAGAGAGAGAGAGAGAGAGAGAGAGAGAGAGAGAGAGAGAGAGAGAGAGAGAGAGAGAGAGAGAGAGAGAGAGAGAGAGAGAGATTAGGCCTGACAAGTTATATTTTTTCATCCGTTTCCAGATAAGTGACAACTCACTCGGGGGAGGGGGTGCAGAAAAATGCTGGAATTCAAGACTTTCCAACTGATACTAGAGTTAGATGTATTGGAACTATTTACCAACTACGATTTCCAACTGAAAGTTTGCGGACCGCAATGGTACAAGAAAGTTGCCGAAGGAGAGGGTATAACTTGACTGAGGAATGAAATATGTCACAAAAACGGAACGACTGCACGCCCCATGGACTAATCTAAAATATCTTACGTCTCCTCCACATTGTTGGATCCCCAGGCAAGCCAAACAATTTCATTGTTTTTGGAAAAAATATCACTCATTTTGTTATTGGGGAAGTAATTTTTTGCTATCTGTAATTTCAGAAAATAATGAATTAAAAGCTAAAAGTTTTCTCCCCTATCCTCGCTTATTTATGCCTACACCCATGAAGCATGACACATAGTAGGAAAAGCCCAAGACCTCTCTGGTCCTATATTTTTATGTTCCTGGCTCCTTGTTAACCCTGCTTTTTGGGGCTTAAAACACAAAAATCTCGATTTTGGCAAGATGCCAAAGAACCCTGATGTTCCCTATCCCTTTATGAGACCTTTCCAGCGAGTCGTCGATCATCTCTCTATCTGTTTCCATTCTTGAGAGATCCTACTTCTAAAATTTGTCGTATTTGTATTTAATCCTTGTTTTTGTCTGCAACTAATCTTGTACAAAGCTTACTCCAATGTAACTTGGCACTTGTATAGGTGTATCCAAGGCCTTTCTTACCTAAGGTTTTCTAGTTCCTCGCCCATCGTAAACTATGCTTTTGAGGCTAAAACATACAAAAAATCATATTTTTGGCAAAAGGCCAAATGTCTCAGATGGTTCCTATACCATCCTTCATGACAAGTTCTTAGCTAGTCGGGAACCCTGTTTTGCAGGCCCCGTGTCGTCAGACGGAGATTCTTATACGTTGTTTTACGTCTGTTGTTTGCGAATAGATTGGAGCTTATTGACATGGGGACACCTCCCGCACCCCTTCCCTGGACAGATTTTGGATTTGGCGGGGGGGACACACCCCACACTCCCTGTTTTTGAGATTTTGGGGAGGAGTAGAGTTAGGGTTATTGGTTCCCCAGGGCACTGGCCAGTGCAGTGATATATATATATATATATATATATATATATATATATATATATTATATATATATATATATATATAAGAAATAAACAAAAAAATGGAGGAATAAAACAAACAAACAGAGACATTGCTGGAAGGTTTATTGATTATACGTTTTTTATTATATAATATAATATTTTATATATATACATATATGTATATATATATATATTCATATATATATGTATATGTATATATGTATATATAGTTATAAATATTTTAACTTTTTTTAGGAATAACGTTGCAAGCCGTTCGCCATTGTCGAGTTGGGGTCGTTAACCACAGATCGGTCGAGAAGGAAGCATCCATTGAACTTTGGAGTGTGCGTCGTCAGAAGGCGCTGCGGGAGGAGAGGAGAGACAGGAGATAAGAGGATGCGGAGGGGGGCGAGAGATGGGGGATGGGATGATGGGGAGGGAGAGGAGAAATGGGAGAGGTGAGGAGGGCGATGGGAGATAAAATGCTACAGAAGAGGGGGAAGGATGGGAGAGATGATGATGCAGATGGGGGCGAGAGATGGGAGATGAGAGATGGGAGATAAGATGCCGCAGAGAGAGACGAAGATGGTGATAATGGTAATGACAACATTAGTATGAACAGAGACGAAACTGATAAAAAAAGTAGTTTTTCTCCAAACCACAAAAATACTTACGGTTCTCCCTCTTGCTTTTATTTCTCTTCGTTAGCCACTGTGCTGTTAGACTTGGTGTCGTCTCCTCCGGATTTCTCAACCTCGTGGACACAGAACCAAGGCATGTGGACGGTGATGGCCTGTGCAGGAGGAGGAAGGTTTAAAGATTTAAAGATTTAGTTTGAATTCCATTTGTTACAATGGATATTCTTTGCTGTGACATACTGTCTGTTTTATTTTGCCCTTATTTCCCCCTGTGTGCAAGGAATGGCCGGGGTTACCATTCACTGGCCGGGCGTGGGATTGAACGCAGGTCCGCAAGATTGCTAGACGAACGCGCTCACCACTGCGCCAGCTCAGCACACGTGAAGGAGGCAAAGGGTGAGGCAAACGAGCATGACGGATTACTAGGAAGCAACTGAGTGTCTGTGCGGCACACTGGTTTCTTTTCATATTTATCTTTCTATCTGTCTATCTATAGAAAATGAGACTTGTCAATGCCTTTTGAAATAAAATTAAATTTAATGATCTATGAATAGTGTATATCAGTTTGGATGAGTCTTTTGCCTATACTTTCTTCACTTGAAGTGGAGGAAAACAAAAGGAGAGTAAGGATAAGAAGAAAAACAGCAGTAGAAAATAATTACCGAGCTGAATGGAGAGAAAACGAAAATTTTTCCAATTCCTGTTCAACTCCATTTTCTGTTCATCCCCAATTTCTATTCAGTCCCGTTTTTTTTTCAACTCCGTTTTCTATCCGACCCATTCAAAAAAATTAAACCCCGTTTTTTGCTCACATCCACTTTCTAGTTAATTCCCATTTTCCTTTGAGTCCCATTCTCAATTCAATCCCGTTTTCTACTCAGCCCCATCTTCTATTGGATCCCCGTTTTCTATACAGCCCCCGTTTTCTACCGAAGTTTCCCCAACCTACGTACCTGTCGGAATTTCGGGTGGCTGATAGCATACACGAAGGGGTTGTAGCAAGAGGCAGACTTTGCAAGCAGAGCAGGCAACATGGTGACCAGTGGCGTGATGTTTTCATGGTTTCCAGCCACGCCCTGCGAAGGAGAAAGAAGAAAAAGGCGTTGATATAGGAGAGGAGAAGTAGAAGGATAAAGAGAGAGAGAGAGAAAGAGAAACGAAAAGAAAGGGTGTGGTTATTAGATTTGCTTTAGTCGTTATCATTTCACTAACGATCAAAGAAAGTAACACGAAATAAAAAAAATACATCAAATCATAATGAACTATTTTGAATTCTGAATTAACCTCTACATCCAAAAAGAAAATCAATACTTAAATAATGATAATAATAATGAATACAAGAGATAATAGTAATAATTAGGAAAATGATATGGAAAAGACACAAAAAAAAGATGTGCGTTGGGGAAGTCGCGAAAAAGGAAGGGGAGAAGAGAGGAAGAGAGAGAGCGAGAGAGGGAGGAGAAGAAGGAGAGAGAGAGAGAGCAGAGAGGAGAGAGAGAGAGAGAGAGAGAGAGAGAGAGAGAGAGAGAGAGAGAGAGAGAGAGAGGAATAATTATGATAATAATAAGAAAACAAGCTAGTATGACAAAACGAGATACTGAGATAGCAACGAAAAAAATATAAAAGAAAACCAAGCATGAATTGAAAAAGAAAATCATAAAATGGAAATAACATTGACAAAATAAAACAAATATGATATACAAAAAAAGCCAAACATGAATAAAAAAAAAAAAAAAAATGAAGACTAATAAAAAATAAAAAACCCATTAAAAAAATAAATATGCAAAAAAAGAGAAATAAAATAAAACAGAAATAAGAAACAAATAATAATAATAATAATAATAATAATAAAACTTACCGGGGCCTTCATGTACAGGTAGATGACAAGGCCGTTGCCAGTGGTGGAGAAGAAACCAAGGAAGATGTAGATGACACCAAGCAGGTAGTGCCACATAGGATTGACCGGGGGGTAATTGTACCAGTGTTCGTGTACCATGTGTTTAATGGTTTCTGGTACAAAGTCCACGACAGTCATGCCCTCAGGGTACCCGAAAGTGCCCATCTGTTGCCTGGAAGAGAAAGGAAAGTGGTTGGTTGGTAAATGAAATATGTATAATAATATATATATATATATAATATATATATTATATATATATATATATATATATATTATATATATATATATATATGGGAGATTTTGAGGGTGATGGAAAAGAAAAGAATAGTGGTTTGAAAAAAATGGTTAAAAAATGCAGGGACAATTAGGGAGATTTTGTGTGGGTCGGAAAAGAAATAGAAGAGAGAGTGGTTTTAAAAAATCTGGGAGAAAATAGGGAGATTTTGTGGGGGACGGAAAAAAGAAAAAAAAGGGGGAAAAAAAAAAAGGAGAGAAAAGAAAAGGAGTGGACTGACTGAAAAAAATGCAGGGAAAATAAAGATATTTTTGGGATGACGATAATGGGTGTTAAAGATAGGTGATGTAAGAAAGTAAGAAGGAAAAACAGGGAATGAAAGACAAAGAAGAAGATCTTACATAAGTTTAAGATTGAAAGAAAATAAATAAGGGTGAATTATGAACAGAGGAATAAAAAAACAAAAACATAAGTAGTTGTAAGAAAACGAATGATTGGTAAGATAAAAAAGCATTGAAAAATAAGAAATAAAAGGGAACAGAAAGGTAAAAGAAAAACAGAAAAATTGGGACGCTTAAGATGAAGGGAAACATGCATCTAGAATAAATGTAGAAAGCATCAGAAGCAGGAAAGAAAATGCGGAATGATTATGACAAGAAAAGAAAAAGAAGAAGGAAAAATAATGCACCAAAGTCACTAAAAAAGGAAACAGGAAAAAAATAGAGAGAGGAAAATCAAAACCAAAAATAACAGAAATGAAATAGAAAAAAATGAAACGAAAACAAATAAAAAGAAGAAAGCCGAAAAAATAAGACAAAAACAAAAAGAAAACACAAAAAACACGATACGAATTCGGAAAAAAATTAAGAATAGTAAAAAACAAACAAAAAAAAACAGAAAAAAACAACAAGAAAACGGAAAATAGTTACCCATAATAAGCCATCTGAGGTCCTGTAGCGTTAGCCATGATGATGATGTCTTTTGACCCTGCTTTTCAGTTGTCGTTCCTTGCCAAAAAAACCTCTATTTCCGACTTCTGACCACGGACTACGGTGTCGTGAAGTCGAATGAAGTTCCTTCGCATCTGCAGCCGTGTCGGGACCTCCTTTATATACAAGCGGCCTCCTCCCAAGACGCTAACGAGATCACGGCCCCTTGTGTGTCGCAAGAAAACGGCGCTACTTGACTTGTAAGGCCTCGGGCGCTCAGCTGACGAAGGGACGACCATAGGAAGGACTTTACGGGAAATAGAACCTTCGATTTTTTTTTTTGGAGTGCCTCGAGACAAAGACATGGTTTTGTTTTATTAATTCGTTCGTTTGTTATTGTTGTTTTTATTCTTGTCGGTGTTGTTGTTATTATCTTTGTTTTTGTTGTTTTTATTACTAGTGGTAATAGTATCATTATTATTATAATTTTCAATCAAAGACAGTTTTGTTTTATTTATTCATTCGTTTACTATTGTTGTTATTGTTTTCATTCTTGTCGGTGTTCCTGATATTGTCTTTGTTACTGTTGTTATTATTAACAGTAGTAATGGTATTATCATTATCATTATCAATCATCATCATCATTTTCATTATTATAAGATGACATTGTCCTAACTGGGTATCTTGAGAGCTATTTGAAGAAGATGATAAAAGTCGTTTTGAAAATGCCAGAGTTTTATAAGGGTCCCTAAGGAGTATTTGAAGAAACAAAGACGTTCTGAAGGTGCCAGAGTCTTAGCCACGAGCGCGTTTTCAGTAAAAAGAATCCTTTCGAGGATGCTAGGATCTTATCCAGGTAAATACGCATTAGAAGTAAAAGATTCCCTTTGAAATTGCCAGTCTAAATGAAGTAGGAAATACTTTTTGAATCTACCAGTCTTATCCCAAGTTACAAAGACTTTTTGGAAACGCTAGTCGTTGAGTCTTACCGGCAGTAGCATAGACCTATATTTTGAACATCCCCATGCCTTTGCTGTGGTTTAAACTTGTCTGAAGAAGGAAAGGATTGGCATGGTGCAATCGACTCTCTGATAAATACCATAGACAATCTGAAATTACCATAGATACTGGAAAATTCAAGGAAATCCCATAAACTCACTGAGAATGGCAGAGCTTTATCTTCCCATGAAGTTTTTTGAGTTCCATGGGAATATTAATGAAACATTCCAAGTCAATGGTGCGTTAAATGGTTGTATAATCTACAATGAATCTTTGTTTGGCTGACTGCTTTACTTAAGGAACTTAAAATGTAGGCAATGTCTTCATGTATAAGTATTCATGTAGACACCTACGTAGACGGTCACTTATCTAGATAACAAGGGCAAGAAGCGTACTTTATCTCTACTAGTTAAACCTGCGGAAAGTCACTCCTGTGGTTTCTGGATTCTACAAACGCAGTTTTAACTTGAGCCTTCTTTGGGCGGTTGTATAAGGAGGAAATCTCTTCTGAGTTCGTACTCTCTCGCAGAAAACTGTTCCGTCTTTGTTTTCTGAAAAAGGAAAGGAAGGAAAGTGAAAGAATTAAAAAAAATAAAGGAATATTTTATTTCGTGGATTTTTGGCATTGACATACACACATATCTATCTATCTATAATATATATATATATATATATATA